GGCAGTCCTGGGCGGCGGCGGTGGCGCCGGGGAAAGCGAGGAGGGGAAGGAAGAAGGGAGAGGAGGAAGGGAACGGCGGAGGGAAGAGGCGGAGTGGCCGCGGAGGAGGCGGGCGCCGCCGGGCCGGGGGGTGTCAGAGGAAGGGGGAGCCAAGCCAGACGCGGCGGCCGCCGGCGCAAACGCTGAAGAGCCGCTCCGGCGCCCGCAGCCCCGCAGGAAGTGACGGGGGAGGGGCCTGCGCCCGCCCCCGGCCCCCGCCCGCCTCCATGCCCGGCCCCACCCCCACCCGCGGTCCGAACCACAAGTCCCGGCGGGCGCTGCGACGGCGCCTGCTCTCGCAAGGCACTCCGGGAGCCTGGTGGGCTGGAGCCTGGTCGGGCCTGGTCGCGGCGGCCCACCCGGGTCCCCGGTGCCTGCTGGGAGTTGTAGTTCTGCTGGGAGTTGAGGGATACCCGGGGACCCGCAACGAGGCTGGGCCGACCTTCTTAACTCCGCCCCCCTCCCGTCGTTCTTCTCGTTTTCCTCTCTGTCCTTCCTTTTCCGCCTCCGTTCCTTCTTTCGCTCCTTCCTTTAGTTTCTCCTTCCGTAAATGTTTATTAAACGTCTGCTGTGTGCAAAGTACTGCTCCAAGAGTTGAGAATATAGAAGTGAACAGAGAGGCAAAAATCCCTGCCCTCAGAGAGCTTACGTTCTAGTGGGGGAAGCACATAATAAATAAAACCAGTTATTTTTATAGTCAGAGGGCGAGAAGTGCCAGATTGCTCTTTCTTTCACCCAGCTCTGGATAAACTAAAGGGGTCTTAGGGGGGTTGGGGTTAATGGTGGGGAATTTTGGACTTCCAGAATCACACTCAGCAAAGAATAATGTGCGCATTGTGAGAGGTCCAGGAAACAGTGAGTGAGGGGAAGAGCTGCAGATGCCCAGGCGTCCTCTTTCCTGCTCACTCTGGGACTACTTCCCCACTATTTAAAAATGGTTTATTTTCTCTCTGCCTATCTTTCACAGTATCTTTCAATCTAGCTATTGCTCAATCTTTCTTGCCAAGGCAATGCAGTTTAATTTGCATAAGTTCATGATATGAGGTCCTGTGGCTGAAGGGGCCTCTCCAAACATGGCTTTGGGACCTTGCCCCTGGCCCAGAGGACACTTTTCTCTGGACCAGGCCCCCTTACTCTGCTTCTTGTAAAATGCAATGAGATTGAATTTCGGGACATCAAGAACAGTCAAAGGACTTTCACTGTCCAGTTAGTGCCAGTCCAAGACAGCGGTAAGCAACAGTCAGATATTGTCCAGCCCTCTGCTAAAGGAGAATTGTCTTCTCTTTCTAACTTCTAAGCAGTCGACCCCATAGCTCACTGGGTAAAGGAGCGGACACAGAGGGGTTTCTCTAAACTCAAAGCTGAGGTCCCCACACAATCTCTTCAGAGGTGTAAAGGTAGAAGGGGATGTTCTGACCCATTTTACTATCACCTGTGGGGACCCAAGTGACGGGCAGATGACTTCCAGTCTCCACTTATTTCCCTCCTTCCATATATTGAAGGGGCGATCCCTCTATTTTTTTTTTCCTAATCCCAATTTTGGATTTTATTCCACAATTTGGATCCTGATACAGCTGGGCCTCAGTTTCCCCCTTAGTTAAAGAAGAACAATTTCCTATCTTACCCAGTGGACATGAGAATCAGTAGAGCTTGATACCCTGTCTCATATTCCCCATCTGAAGAGTGACAGGACTCTCTTTAGAGTTGTGAAGTTCTAAGCGTGCTGCTGTGAGCAGCCTAAGCTGCGATCTGCTCTTGCTAGTGACCAATCATGTGTCATTCCAGGGGTCACATGTTCTTAGGGTACTGCCTCCGCCTTCCTCCCCTCACCCCTAGCAATCACTGATCTTTTTACCAACTCCATATTTTGCCTTTTTCAGAAATGTCATATAGTTGGAATCATGCAGTCTGTAGCCTTTTCAGATTGGCTTCTTCCTGTTAGTAATATGCGAAGTTTCCTCCATGTTTTTTCATGGCTTGATACCTCTTTTTCCATTTTTTAATAGATACATAGATAACATGAAGTATAATTTTTTTTTAGATAAAAATCAACTTCTCACAGGGTTTTTATTGATTTGCATGTTCCCATTCCTTATTATAAATGTATATAATTTACATTCTAGGAAGGAACACAGAATTTAGTGTAATTTACTTAATGGTTACAGTTTCTTATTTCCACCTTCATCTCTAAGAAAAATAAATAATTCCTTTATTATTTGGCAAGAGTCAAGAAGTCTGCAGGCCCTTAGAAGAGAATTTAACTCACAATACAAAGAGAGAAAACAAATCTAAGTGACCCACTCCTGAACCCAGTCAGCCCCACAGCTAACCTCTGCCTCAGTTAAATACAATTCCTTGATTACACAAAGAGAGTTCAGAGTCATTCTCAAAAAACAAGGAGTGCTGAGAACAGCCCTGTGGTCAGGTGGCTGGGGACCACCTGAACCTGAAGGGGTCATATGTATTGTCTGACCAATCTGTAGCCCTGTGCTTGATCTGTGCTGACCCGAGGGAAAAACAAAAACAACCCCCCCCCCAAAAAAACCCTAAGGAGTATTAAATCTTCAGCTTGTTGTTGTTTTTCTTCCTTTTTCTTTCATCTGTGTTTCTAGTTTTAATTAGTTGCTATCATTCTAACACTTACATAATAACCTGGGTTTGGGGGCACCTGGGTGGCTCAGTTGGTTAAGCGTCTACCTTCGGCTCAGGTCATGATCTCAGGGTTATGGGATCCAGGCCCACTGCAGGCTCCCTGCTCAATGGGGAGTCTGCTTCTCCCTCTGACCCTCCCCCCCCCGCCGTCTGTGTGAATGTGCGCATGCGCATTCTCTCTCAAATAAATAAAATCTTTAAAAAATAATAGTAATAATCATCTGGGTTAGTATCAGCTCTTTAAAAATGAGGCAGATTTGGCTGCACAGAGCCTGCAGAGCGGCAGCTACACCCTATAGGTGGGCACATACTTTTCATGTCACTGCAGTCCCCACCCTACCCATGTCTCTCTGTTTATGTTATTTTCCTGTTCTTGTTGACATTTAAGTTTGCCACGCCTGGCCTACTATGTAACTGTATGCTTTTCTGTGGAGCTGAAGACTTGTCAGGAAGACAGACCCTGGTCAGAGAATCTCCAAATGCAATGGTGATGAGTACAGGAAAGAAAGGTACATGGTATTATGAGGGCACTATGAACCCAGGTTTCAAGGTTTAGGGACAGTGCTTCAGCAAAGATCTGAAGAATATGTACAGGGTAACTAGGCAAAAGGGGTGCAGAAAGGGTTCCAAGTAGGAGGAAAAAATGTACAAAACCACATGGCCCAGATGCTAGTTACTATTGCTACAAAACAAATCACTTCCAAATGGAGTGGCTTAAAAGAACAGTAATCATATTATCATCTCTCATAGATCCATGGGTCAGGAATTCAGAAAGAGTTTGGCTAGACTCTTCTAACTTGGGTTTCTAATGTAGAACTGGACCACTGGGTGATAGAACACCTGGGGGCTGGCTGGGCCTTTTCCTCTTCATGGAGCCTCAGAGACTGTCCACGGGGCCTCTGCATGAGCTACTATGGGCTTCCTCACAGCATGGAAACCTCAGGGCTGTCAGACTGTTTACACGGTGGCTGAAGGCTTCAAGAGTGAATGTCCTGGAGAGCAAGGCAGAGTTGCATTTGCCTTATGTGACCTAGCCTCGGACATCATATAGCGTCACGTCTGCTGTAGTGTCCTGGTTACAAATGAGACGTAAGCCTGTCCAGATCCAAAGGGAGGGGGATTAGACTCCACCTCCTGTTGGGAAATGCAAATAGCAGGTCTGGAGCTCAGAGGAGAGTCAGAACTGGAAACGTAATGTGTGAGTGGGTAGCATTTGAGAGTTAATTGAAGCCTCATGTGTGGATGTTAGTGGATGTTAACACCTGATGAATGACCTCTGCTACACTCTCATGGCCCCTTAGCAGAACTTTGCACCCTTATAATTATTTGATTTTCTGCTGAGTTTGCTCTGTTTGGCTAGGACTATGTGATCAACTTCCATGAGAGCAGGGACTCAGGCTGTCTTGATCATCATGGTGTCCCTGGCCCCTAAGACAGTGCCTGTACACATACATTTCCATCAGCTACTGAAGAACCACAGCCTCTCATTTGTGCTAGAGTCCCTAAAAAAACAAGGAACACCTGTAAGTTTGATTGGTATATGTCAAAATCACTCATAGTATATGTTGCAAGGGCAAACACAGTTGAGAACTACTTGCTAGTCCAGTAATTCTCAGGATTATTTGAGGTAGACTGCTCCTCTGGGGCTATTTCAGCATCTTAGAGGGAGAGCATTATATCTTAGAAGATGAAATGACATCATTACATCTTGACATCGTGACATCATGATGACATCTTGACATCTTTTTGTCAAAAAAAGACATCATTTACAAATCAGTAAAAAAAAAGAAAATTCCTAGGAATAAATTTTACAATAACGATGCACAATCTCTAGGAAGAGAAGATTTAAATTCTACAGAAGGATGCAGAAAAAGACTTGAATAGAAATATAAGCTATGTTCTTGACTAGCAAGACTCTGCATCATTAAGATATCAGAGATATTGAGATCCTTTTTTTAAGATTTTATTTATTTATTTGACAGATAGAGAGACAGAGGGCACTAGCACAAGTAGGGGGAGCTACAGAGGAAGAGGGAAAAGTAGGCTCCCTGCTGAGCAGGGAGCCTGACGTGGGGCTCAGTCACAGGACCCTGGGATCATGACCTGAGCTGAAGGCAGACGCTTAACTGACTGAGCCACCCAGGTGCCCCTATGGAGATCCTAATTAAAAAAAAAAAGCAAGACTTTATTTTGGAACTAGATGAGCCAAGTCTTCTTGTGGAAAAACTAACAAGAAAACATTTCTGAAAGTGCCTGCCCAAGTAATAAACATATTATCATGTCGTACTAGTTAAAACTGTTACCTGGGCTCCTGGCTGGCTCACTCAGTAGAGCATGCGACTCTTGATCTCTGGGTCATGAGTGTAAGCCCGACAATGAGTGTAGAGTTTACCTTAAAACAAAACAAAACAAAAACAAAAACAAAACCTGTTAGATATTAGTGTCTAATTAGTTCAACAAATCAGCAGAAGAGAAATTCCCAAATAGACACAAATACAGGTAGGCATTTATTATTCAATAAAGGTGGTATTTCAAATTGGTGAAGATAAGAGATTTCATGCAATAAATGATTTGGGACAACTACAAAACACCTGTGGGGAAAAAAGAGCTAAATCCATCCTTCATATCTTACACCTGGAAAAATGCCAAATGGATCAAGGATTTAAATGGAAAGAGGGAAACCATAAAAGTACCAAAAGAGTTTCTGGGAGAAGTGGAGAAGACCCTTTTGATTATAACACAAAATTCAGAAGACTTAAAGGAAAAGATTGTTATATTTGATTTCATGAAAATAAAATATAATCATGGGAAGTAAAGAAACAAATGACAAACTGGAAAAAAATTGCATCTGAAGCACAGAAAGGCAAGCTTTATTTTATTTTTAAAGTTTATTTTATTTATTTAAGTAATCTCTACACTCAACGCGGCGGGGCTCAAACTCATGACCCTGAGATCAAGAGTCACAGGCTCCTCTGATGGAGCCAGCCATGCGCCCCAGAAAGACAAATTTTATAACATGTAAAGAATTATAACATGTCCTATGAATTACAGAAAGATTAAAACCCAATAGAAAAATGGGTAAAAAATAGCAACAGACAGTTCATGGGAAAGGAAAAACAAGTTGTTCTTAGAAATAACACCATGAGGGGCGCCTGGGTGGCTCAGTCGTTAAGCGTCTGCCTTCAGCTCAGGTCATGGTCCCAGGGTCCTGGGATCGAGCCCCACATTAGGCTCCCTGCTCCTCGAGAAGCCTGCTTCTCCCTCTCCCGCTCCCCCTGCTTGTGTTCCCTCTCTTGCTGTGTCTCTTTCTATCAAATAAATAAATAAAATCTTAAAAAAAAAAGAAAGAACACCATGAGGGGTGCCTGGGTGGCTCAGTCAGTTAAGCACTGACCCTTGATTTTCAGCTCATGTCACGGTTGTGAGATGAAGCCCCTCATCAGGCTCTTTGCTGGGCATGGAGCCTGCTTAAGATTCTCTCTCTCCTCCCTCTGCCCCCTGCAACTCTCTCCCTCTCTTAAACGAAGGAAGAAAGGAAGGAAGGAGGGAGGGAGGGAAGGAAGGAAGGAAGGAAGGAAGAATGAACACCATGAATTCAAGGATATTAATGGAAATACAGTTTGTAATAGCAAAAGTTTGGAAATAACATCAATGTCCATCGACCTAAGACTGGCTAAATAAATTATGACAAATTCTTACAATGGAATAATAATCAATGGTTAAAAAAAAAAAAGAACGAGGAGAGAAACTGCAAAGAGAATGAGAAACAAGCTACAGACTTGGATAAAGTATTTGCAAATCACATATCTGATAAAGGATTTGTATCCAGAATACAAAGAACCCTAAAGACTCAACAATAAGAAAACAAAAAACCCAAGGGAGGGGCACCTGGGTGGCTCAGCTGTTAAGCGTCTGCCTTCAGCTCAGGTCATGATCCCAGGGTGCTGGGATCGAGCCCCACATTGGGCTCCCTGCTCTGCGGGAAGCCTGCTTCTCCGTTCCGCACTCCCCCTGCTTGTGTTCCCTCTCACTGTGTCTCTCTCTGTCAAATAAATAAAATCTTAAAAAAACAACAACAAAAAAACCCAAGGGAAAAATGGGCAAAAGAATTGAATAGACACTTCACCAAAGAAGTTACAGGGATATGTGGTTGTCAAATAAACATGTGAAAAGATGTCATTAGGGAAATGCAAATAAAACACACATACATACACTCACAAAGAGATATCATTACACACCTTTTAGAATAGCCAAAAAATAATAAAAATAAACCAACAACACCAAATAGAAGAATGAAGAGCAACAGGAATGCTTATTCATTGCGGATAGAAATGCAAAACAGTACACCACTTGGGAAGGTACTTGGCAAGTTCTTATAAAGTTAAACATGCACTTGCCATTCAACCCAGCAACTTATGTTCACATGAAGCCCTTGCACTAATGTTTATAGTAGCTTTCTTCTTAACAGCCAAACCTGGAAACAACCAAGATGTCTTTCAATAGGCGAATAGGTAAACAAACAGTGGTCCATCCATGCAGTGGGACCCTCCTCAGCAACGAGCATAGATATGTTCATGAAACAACATAGATGAATCTTAATTGCATCATTATGGGTGAAAAAAATGAAACCCAAAAGGCTACAAATTGTTTGCTTCCATTTTTATGACATTCTGAAAAAGGCAAGATTATAGGGACAGAAAACAAATCAGTGGTTGTGAGGGGTTGGGGTGGGGGAGGTAGCTGACTAAAATCCTACATCTAGTGTTTAGGTATTTAGGTGATTGAACTGTTCTTTATGTTACCGATGTCGTGGACACATGACTGCATTTTCCCAAGCCCTTACAGAGTAAACCTTACTGTATGCAAATGTTTAAAAATCAGTAAAGATGTCCAAGGTTCCCAAGATGGAATTAAAGACCGTGACAAATGAATCTCACTGGCGGGGATGGGAAAAAAAAGAGCTGACCCTAATTAACTTTGGAAAAGTGCTTTGACTGGAAATTGTAAAGCTAAAGGCAAAAGAACTGCACATAAACACTGTCCTCTAGTTGATAAGTGTTTCTCACAGGAATGAGAAATATAAAGCACTGTGAACTGAATGAAAATGAAATTACAACATACCAAAAACTTGGGGATGCAGTTAAGGCAATCTTTAGAGGGAAATTTGTAGTATTAAAATGTTTGTATTGGAAAAGCAAAAAAAAAAAAAAAGTCTCAAATCAGTAGTAATCTAAGTCTCTTCCTTAAACTAGAAAAAGAAATTAAATCCTAAGCAAGCAGAATTACAGGAACAATAAAGATATGAGCAGATATCAATAAAATAGAAAGCAGTAATAATAGAGAAAATCCATGAAAATTCATTCTTCTGAAGGAAAAAAAAAATCAACCTCTATCCAGACTCATCAAGAAAAAAGAGTCAGAAAATTTGTGGCAGGTACAGAAAACATGTGTTTGTTAATGAACAGACCACCTCTGGATTCCAGGGGTCTGAAATGAAGCATAAAAATGTGGTAACAGTATTTGCCTTTGAAGAGAAGGATTGAGTAGCTGGGGATAAGGTGGGGAAAAGACTTTTTTGCTGAAATACCTTTCAGTTTTCTTTTGAATGCGCATAATACATAATCACCTATTCAAAAATAGGGGCACCTTCCTGGCTGGCTTAGTCGGTACGGCATGCTACTCTTGATCTCAGAGTTGTAAGTTTGAGCCCCACATTGGGCCTAGAGATTACTTAAAAATACAAAATCTTTTTTTAAAAAAGTAACAAAAATAAAGTGCTTTATATTTCAAAGAAAACATCTTCACTTGAGGAATGGTAGTTTTTATTTATTGTTTTATTAAGTCTTTAATTTATTTAAATAATCTCTGCACCCAATGTGGAGCTCAAACTCACAACCCCGAGATCAAGAGTCACATGCTGGGCGCCTGGGTGGCTCAGTTGGTTAGGCGACTGCTTCGGCTCAGGTCATAATCCCAGGGTCCTGGGATTGAGCCCCACATTGGGCTTCCTGCTCAGCAGGGGAGTCTGCTTCTTCCCCTCCCCATGCTCATGCTCTCTCTCTCACTCACTCTCTCTCTTTCAAATAAGTAAATAAAATCTTAAAAAAAAAAAAAGAGTCATATGATCTTCCAACTGAGCCAGCCGGGTGCCCTGAGTGCTGCTGGTTTTTAAAAAGCATATTCATTCATTCATGCATTCATTCATTCATTTAATATGTGGTGTTTATTATTTCCACGAATTTTTATACTTATATTGCAAATGAACTCTTCCTAAAGCAATATTGCTTTTTATTTCATTTCTTTAAGGTTTTATTTATTCATCTGAGAGAGAGAGAGAGAGCATGAGCAGAGGGGAGAGGCAGAGGGAGAGGGAGAAGCAGACTCCCCACTGAGCAGGGAGCCCGATGCAGGGCTCGATCCCAGGACCTGGAGATGATGACCCAAGCCAAAGGCAGACGCTTAACCATCTGAGCCGCCCAGGTGACCCTTAAAATTTTATATAAATGGTATCACACTATTTGAATTCTTCTGTGCCTTACTTTTTGCCCCTCAATGTGACATTTTTGGGTAGTTCATCTCTATTTACATATGTAGCTTTAGTTTGTTCATTTTCACTTCTGTACACCATCACATGGGTGTAGCCCCTTGTACTTACCCAGTCTTCTGTTGACGGACATTTAGGTTGGTGGTATGTCTTGCTGTTGTAGGCACCGCCACTATCAGCATTCTTGCGTATCTCCTCATGCAACTTGTAGATTTTACATTTCCTATATTCGTAATTGACTGTTTCCCAAAATACCCATTGATGTACCCTTTTCTAAGAGCTATCTTACCTATTGATTTTTTTTATATATATCTATGAACTATAGATATAATTTATGATAACTTTATTCTAATGCTCACAGACCTCAGGAAAATGGGGAGTAACAGTCATTCAATTTATTTATTCAATACATACTTAGATATCTACTAAGCATTAATTATGTGCCACGCACTGAGAATACTGAGATGAACAAAACAGACAGGCCCCTCCCTGCCTTCATGGAGGTTACATAAAGAACATATCTCTGCCTGGTCTTTTTCTCTTACCGACTGTCCTAAAAAATCTTGATAGGATTTTGTACAGGGATGCTATGGGCTCCAGGGTGAAATGAGAAGTAGTGATCATGAGTTAGTTCTAGGTCAACAAGGTAGCTCCTATTGGCTCAGCTGACCTGGTTATCTCTCAAATTTAATACCAGGTAAGTCAGTTGGAAAAACAAAATCCTCATGATGTAAGTTTAAATTGATCCTATAGAAGAATCCATTGCTTATCTCAAGGTTATTTGGAAATAGGAGGGTATGTTTTCATATCCTACTGGAGGCAGAAGGCTACAGGGAGTCATTTTCCCTGGAATTAGAAAGCTTTTCGGTCATACAAAATAGCTTTTGGCTTCATGCAAATTATTTCTCAATAAGAGCAAAAGTGCTCTTATTATATTCAAGTATTATCTGCTCTCTAGATAATGTCTATGTTTTATTATGTAGTTTTAAAAATTAAGTTTCTTGAGGCACCTGGGTGGTACAGTCAGTCAAGTGTCCGACTCTTGGTTTTGGCTCAAGTCATGATCTCAGGGTCATGGGATTGAACCCCATGGCAGGGCTCCATGCTCAGTGGGGAGCCTGCTTGAGATTCTCTGTTCCCTCTTCCTCTGCCCCTCCCCCTGCTCTCTCTCACTTTCTCTCTCTCTCTAAAGTAAATAAATAAACCTTTTTAAAAAATTAAGTTTCTTAAAGTAATATGCACCCATATGTTTAAAAGAGACAAATAGTTTTAAGAAGCTTATCATGAAAAACAACACCCCCATCCACTCACTTTCAACTGTTTTCTTCAGGTATCTTCCTTTATATTTCTCTTTTTTTTTAAGATTTTATTTATCCATTTGAGAGAGAGAGAGGGAGAGCACAGAGGGAGAGTGAGAAGGAGAAACAGACTCCCCACTGAGCAGAGAGCCCAAAGTGGGGCTTGATCCTGGGACCCTGAGACCATGATGCGAGCCGAAGGCAGATGCTTAATTGACTGAGCCACCCAGGTGCCCCTATATTTCTTTTTTTTTAATAGTTTATTTATTATTTTTTAGTAATCTCTACACCCAACATGGGGCTTGTACTCACAACCCCAAAATCAAGAGTCGTATGTTCTTCTAAGCCAGCCAGGCACTCCTCTTCCTTCATATTCTAAAGGACATGCCTATACTGATATTTCTTGATTCTTCCATTTAGATCTGTTGACTGTCTACCACGGAAGATGAGAATTAGTTCTCTTAGTCCTGTTCCCACCCACTCCAACACAGTAATTTCCCCTTCTCAGTTGTTCCAATATCTGTCATAATTATTGATGCAATCAATATTTAATATTTACATTATTAAGCCTATATAAGTAGTATTCACCACTAAGCCATGTAAAGTATGATTACATTTCATTTCTTCTGTAACTTCCCCCCCCCAAAGTTACAAGTTGCCTTGATGTTTCATTTTCTTTTGTCACAAGATGTAGATAGGGAACTATTTCAGTCTCACTTTCAGCTGATGCTTCCCCATTCCAAAGTAAGTCTGCCTAGGCGGGACTTGTAAAAGAGGTGACTAAAAGCTGGTTATAGCAGCTTTATTCATAATTGCCAAAACCTGGAAGCAACCAAGATATCCTTTAGTAGGTGAATGGATAAATAAACTGTACTACATCCAGGCAATGAAATATTATTCAGCACTAAAAAGAAATGAGCTATCAAGCCATGAGAACACATGGAGGAAACTAAAATGCACATTACTAAGTGAAAAAAGCCAATCTGAAGAGGCTACATACTGTGTGATTCCAGCTGTATGACATTCTAGAAAAAGCAAAACTATGGAGACAATTAAAGATCAGTGGCCCCCGGGGGTTTAGGTGGAGGGATGAATAAGCAGAGCACAGAGGACTCTTAGGGCAATGAAACTCTACATGATACTATAATGGTGGATAGATGTCATTATACCTTTGTCCAAATTCACAGAATGTACAACAGCAAAAGTGAGCCCTAATGTAAACTACGGACTTTGGGTGATAATGATGTGTCCATGTAGGTTCATGGGCTGTGACAAATGTACCCACTGGTGGAGGATGTTGATAGTGGAGTAGGCAGTGCATGTGTGGGGGTAGGGAGTATATGAGCATTCTCTGTACTTCTACTCTATTCTAATTTTGCTGTGAACCTAAAACTGCCCGAAAAATGAAGTCTATTAAATTAAAAAAATAAAAACTGGTTTTGTTACTTTTGGTCCCTACCCATTCAAGAGCATGAAAGGACTGTTGAAATTTCTCAAGATCAAAGAAAATGTTTGGAGAGCATTAATGAGCTGTGAGTACACTTCCGCCAGTTTGTGGGAATGAGAAAAGGAAGGCACTTCAGTAAGACCTCCTGATGAACCTGATGTGTCTCCTGAAGCTCAGGTGACATGGTAGGTGGTGCCTGAGTCACACCTACCATGTGTGGCTGGCTAGCTCCTCTGATGGGGCAGAAAGAAGCAGAGGTGCTGTTTCAGGTGCTGGACAGTATCCTGAGGACTAGACTGAGCCGTGCCGGGGAAACACCAGCTTGGATCTGGTCTAAGAGGTTTTTCCCGAGGAGTGAGGTGACCCCAGTCAAAAGAGGTTGCATGTCTGGGGGCTGAGGCCAGAATTATAAGTGGTCATAAAATCAAGGGGTCTTCTGTATCCAAATGGCCAACAGACACATGAAAAAGTACTCAACATCACTCGGCATCGGGGAAATACAAATCAAAACCTCAATGAGATACCACCTCACACCAGTCAGAATGGCTAAAATTAACAAGTCAGGAAACGACAGATGTT